CCCTCTCCTCCAACTCTCCAATTCTGTATCATCACTAAGAAGAAATACCTCGCTGGGCCCTGAAAATCTGTTGCGTACTCATTTGGAACAATCAGAAATTGACTACGACGTAAATGTGTGCATCTGTAAGAGACGATTCTGTGGTAAGTTTTATGTTGCCCTCCTAGAACTTGTTTCACCATTTCATAGAATAAACTTATTGGCCTGTGCGCAGCTGACGCGCACGAGTCTATTACAGTCTTCTGCACATGCGGCAGGCCTATTTCCCGTTGTCGCGTGTAGTCTCATGTGTAGAAGTGATTCGTTTGGCACGTCCTCACTTTCGCTACTCCGATCCTTGTTGGAAAAGTGTTTCTACCAGTCTCCTATGCATAGGAGGGGATCAAAAAAAAGGAAAGGTAATGCGGAGGTGTTAGAATGATCACGGCTTTGCAATCACCATCCCTGAAGGAGGGCATGCCACTCCTAATCAAAACACCAAACTAGCGACTATTAAGGTGTGAGAATCAGATACATTTACTGATATTTGCCTTCTTCTCCATTTTTCTAGGGAAGTTCCCATTTAATATGCAGAAAAATGACACGTTCTACGATGCTATCAATTTGCTTGTGAAACAACTGATGATTTCACTCAGGCCATTGTATCACAGCGCCATATGATTGATCAATTGCTTGAGAGCACTTTTGTTGAAACACCATCATTCAGTCAAGTGATTCCCATTGATTCGAAGATGCTCATTGCCCTCTTACCCTACCAGCGAATCGAATGTGTTCACAGGAGGTTTCTATAAACCGCTCCCTCCCCTTCACATAGCTCACACTGCTGGAGGCAGGAGCTCGGCTGGGTGACGCTGTATAGAAACATCAGAGAAATCGTTCGAATAAGTTTCCAGGTGACCCGTTTAGGTAATGTTTGTAATGGGACCTATTCTATGTCCTAACTTCTGCAAAAACCGTCATTGAGTACGCCCTAGAAAAGGAACACGATCTTTCGCTAACGATTTCGTACACTATCGTGAACCGAAGACTGTTTTTCCTTTTCGTCTGGTCGTTTCGCAAATGCAATTACTCTACAAATTCTACCAGCCAGACAATCGGGCACAAAAGAGTTTAGGTGCTCAAAGACACGATCAGATGGCTCATTTACACAGGAGAATGATATCCGCTTGATTTGGAAAAGTCGATGGGAAGCGTGCATTCCGGCAACAGCAGAAGGTCCCTTGAATCGCCTCCGTACCCTACGAAATCATTTGAGGAAATGCAAAAGTTAGGCCTGTTTTAATGAAAGCCCTCAGTTCATCTGAGTCCCCATTACTTTACCTTAGTTTACCTTACCTTACCTAGCTACAGTACCTTGGGACTGAAAATTTCTTCAGAAAACTCAATAATTCTAGCAGAGAAAGACCATTCGAGTGGAACAGTCTTTCACTCGAAACGTTCGCCAATTATGGCCATGTCACTTGCGTCTCGCCCACACGAGTTCTCCGCAGAAGAAGTTTTTCCTACGACATTTGGTCCAAAATTACACTTAGGTATTGATTATGTGAATGCAGTTCCCACTTTCACTTATTTCCTACAGGTAAACATAGGACTAGGTAGGTAGGACATTGCTTAAAACCTACTGATCTTTCATGAAAGACTTTTGTGAACGTAGTTACCCACTGACCCAGTGCCACCCACCCTCATATATAGGCGCTTCTATAATAGTAAATTCGAAAGAAAAGGGCGATTGTAGGGAATACCTTTGGTTCCATGGCATATCAGTTGGTCTTGGCCAGTCTACACCGGGAGTGAGAACGGGAGCCGGTAAAGTGACAGCCCGTCCATAGGTGCCGTACCGGCGTCGCGTAGCCATTCTGAAAAGAAAAAAGGGAACAGTTTCTAACGTCGCTTCATTCATCATCATCGCTTTTACATCCAAGACTGCAGTTCCATCAAAAACATAAGACGCAACACCTGCCACAAAGGCACAACAAACTGAATCCTCGACTGGGACCACATGAAAGCTGCATTGATTATCAGAAATCTTTTGAAATTCTGCACATCCAATTTGAGTATGACTACCTCGCCAGTGGAAGGATTCCGTTTAATAAAAAGTATGATCAACTTGAAAAACATATAGCTGCTCATGGATCCTAGCTGAGCAGTTTTTAGAAATTCGAGTTGTAAATGATGCTTTTGAAAGACAATCGGAAGGGTGAGCTGTCGGCAAAAGCTGATTCAGCACGGAAACAGTCTGACATATGAGAAGTCTCGAATTCCTTACTTTTGGTGCAGTAAAAGGATTTAGTGATGCTGTCGACAATTCGAATTGTTCATCAAGTAGGACGAAGATTTCCAGATGACATAGTAACGTGGAAGTAAGTGCGGCAGAAGACAGCTGGAGGGGGCCAGCCAGGCGGAGGACAAGCCGCAGGCGCGCGCAATAAGTGTGGTGCTTGAGGTGTGCGAGTGTGTTTATTGACTCTACCCGAAGCTCTCTCGACTACTGCATCCATCTCCTATCAAAATACACGAAATCAGTATATGAGAAACAGAGCGCTGTAATCGATCGGCACTAGCGATCACTAGGGAGGTGCTTTGAAACCTTTCCGGAGAATTTCGTATCGGTTGGTTGGTTTAGCGTGTAGCAATGAGATGCCAGTTATGGCGATAGCCACTGACCCGAATCGAAAGCACCCGGTCTCTACCCAGAAATCTGAAAACATGAAACAAATACATCCGAGAAACACACAAGAATCGTCAATGAACGAAGTGAGTCATCCTGAAAAGTCCGGAAAGCACGGAGAGGCGAGCAATAACTGAACACACCCACCACATATACTAAGCGATCGACCAACACCTCAACGTTCATATTTTCGTTGCCGACCGACGGGAGGCAGGCAGTGGTTTAAAACATTAACCAGATGGCGAATGACTCCCCCGTGCTGACAGTGAGAAACACTCAGCATTAAGTTGTCTGTGTGAATGGTTACTCTTGTCTCGAGAATGGTCATTTCTACAGACCACACTTGCTTTTTAATGGCAGTTTGAGGCACGTCTATGTTCCTAAAAAGCGGCTTTCCTATGGCTTCGACAACTCACTGTTTAGGCACGCTCGGACTAAGGATCCAGCGTTCAAATCGTCAAGTTGTTGTATGTTATTTATCAGTTGAGCGAATTGTGACAAGGGGGACGTCCGAAATGGCGTTCCGATCGGAACCCTTGTGTAACGCGGGATGGGACGAGCTTTTTTTCGCTTATACTTAGCAACAGCCAACAGCTGAAGTTGACGATGTGACTGTTGGATGTGGAAACGCCCTCTATGAAAGCATCCTTCACTAATAGCCTGAGCATATCTGCCGAGCTATGGCCGGAATTACATCGGGCGACAAGACGACATCGACCAACAATACAGCAACTATGACAACACTTGGCTTCAATTTTTTGGGGTTTTCTGGGTAAATCGAGTAGGTAGAATGAAGGAAGCCGCAAAGAACCTTGTGAATTGGTTTTGGCATCGTTTCACGGCGTTTCAGGGCTGGGCAATTTTCCAGTATAGTAGTGCAGAGTCTGCTACAGTACGAGCCGTTGCACAAAAACTGATCACAGGAGAGCATCAGAGAGCAGTTGTAGCAGAGTGTGCCGTGAAGTCGATGAATGATGAGTCTCCAAAAAAAAGTTGCGGAAAAAAATTTGTGCACATCCTGTCTGTCGAAGCTTGTCCTCGCCTTTTTATTAGCCTGTGTATTATCAAGTGGAGTCAAAATAAAAGAACGGTAGAAGAATTTAAGGGAGGAATTAGTTTGGAGGCATTTGAAGCTGGCTAATGTTGGTCAATTGAGCTGAGCAGCCCCCCGACATGAAGCTAAAGTTCATTTCATATGACTCACCATTAAAAAGTACAATGTGTACGTGCATTTGCTGACTAAAACCTGGGCAACCTTGGGTTTTCAGCAAGATCGTCTCAGGCACGTTTTTGAGATCGATCATTCCAGGATGTTTTCAAGTAATCCCCACCAATTTGAGNCACTGTGACCGTGACTCGGGCTACATTAACATCAAATTCAAGCGGTAGTATTCCGGAAAGATTGACATGGGTGTTGATTTCCAGGAAGAATCACATTGATGTTGTTACGCATGATCGGATGCATGGCGCTGGCCTCAATTTTGTTGTTTTACCGTTCGTTGCAGCAACGGCGCTCATGCATGCGCTTGTTGCATGGGGGAATTCCAAAAGTCCTGGGCGGGTACTGACTTCGAGATTTTCTTCGTTCTCTATGAAGAGTCCTGTAAACATAATTTCATCTGATATCCTGTTATCATTATAACAAGATAACAAGGCTGAGGGGAGCTGTGGGACGTCGTCCCGTAGAAATTTGTGAGTGGGAGAGGAAGAAGGAACTGCAGTGTGAACAAGTCAACCGCTCAATTTTAGGCGATACCTATTGTGATGTATGTAATGTTTGTATGCTTAATTCATTAAATGCTCCTATAGTAATGTGGTATGCTATTTATTTATTTATTTTTCAATCCAAATACACCTCAATTGTATTTGAATAAACAAGCAAGTGGTAGTAGCCCATTAATAGTCAGAAAAGCAATTGATTCCTATAAACTTTCAGATCGTTGAAATAGATTGCGAGGTTTAAAACCGTCATAATTTTTGACATCCTTTTGNCCTATAAACTTTCAGATCGTTGAAATAGATTGCGAGGTTTAAAACCGTCATAATTTTTGACATCCTTTTGATTTTTTTTTCTTGAACGCTCCCTGTTTCATGTTGTTTTAGGAGGAATGATTCTTTTTATAAAGGAATATTGAGTTACTGGAATTTCTGTCCCTACGCAATAGTGCTTGGCTGGTCCACCAAGGATTAGAAGAAGTTTAGGCAGTGCACTTGGTAAGAATTTAGTTCTAAGCCGATTTCTTCCTATTGGCTGAGTACCTCTACAGATGAAATCTTGGTCATAGAGTAATTCGACAAATTTTAGACCTCTTGAAAAAAGACAATATGAACCATAGGAGCATTCCCACTACAGAGATGAGCCTGCTCAACTGGGTCAAAAGTAAGAGTATTCTGCAGACATAGGCATTGGAAATAAGGAGCCGATCTTCGCGGTCGATGCCTCAGAGCACGTAGCGTCCCATGTTTTCCACATCAAATCTGTGAAATGTGCTTTCTAATGTCCTGCTTCTCACGGTTGTGACGTTATTGTCGGAACTTCGACAAGGCATACGTCCATGGCAGAGTACAGCAATGTCCATGAACATCTATAAGATGGAGACCTGAGTGATCATGAACTACATTGAAATCAACTTATCTGCTCTACAATGAACTTAAAGGCACAGTTCACGATAATTTTCAGGTGCCCTTTTTAGGTTGAAAAGCGGAAGTTTTTATGTAGAGAAGTACATCGGGNTTTATGTAGAGAAGTACATCGGTGGCGAAGAAAGCGAGAAAATCTGCATACTTTAAGCTTTTTAAAAGTAGTAGAAGTGGAGGTTGTACGAGATCACCGCGACAGGAATGGCATGTAAGGGGTTTTTGGACGAGATTTGACTTGCTCCCATTGCTCGAAGGGCTGACTACACCAAGCTATAGCTGTCCGGAATTGCCTTTTACTGTCGCTATAGGTCACAAAAAGTTGTTTGAACCGCTTGCATTGGTTCCCTTGTGTATAAAGCCGTTGAAACTCGTCCACTAGGGGTGTGGCATTCACACTATACAATCTCTGGCCCCTTATCCAGAACGTTTTTCGTCTTTATATCGACAGATATGGAATAAGGGGAGCCTTGAATTCATACTGTAGGGAGATCTCAGAAACCATATTTATCGTGAACTATGCCTTTAACTTATCCGTTCTGGAGTAGAACTCTAAATGCTAGCTGGCTGCACTCCACATTTCTGGATTTCCGTTCAGTAGCTCGTTACGGAAGGCTAGATAGAAGGCTGGACAGCTTTTTTTTTTCGTTTAAGCCGCTACACAAAGACTCTCTCGACGCACTCAAGCTTATTGCTTAATGCGCATAGCGCACTGTGATCTAACTCTTGTGGTCCTGTAGCTGGGTTGGGGGTTAGGAAATACGTACAATCCCAACTCCTAGCTCCAGTTCTGCCCTGGTGCTCTTGCCGAATGGTGATGTCCCTAGCACTAGTCACTGCACGTTTTTTTTTTTGTCCGCTTCTTGCGTACTCCCCAATCGTCAGTCATAGTATTTATTGAACAGTGATCTCGCACCGTTTAATGAACAGACGTGCTGGTCCCTCTGTCCTCTTACAATCAGACCGGAACAGTTAGGTTTTTCTGCTTCTCTAGTAATCTCCTATTTTATTTTTGATTGTTTACTGCGGATTCATAGGTTTCATACCCACAAGATTCCGGTGTCTCCTGTGAAATATTTTATTCCGCAACTTCTGGTCTAAAACATTAGGAAGCAGCACAGACAGCGTAAAAAGGACAGATTACACTGTCTCATGCAACTTCGAAATGAGCGGCGAGATAGAGGATCTAATTCGACGGGTTCAAGATGGTTTTTTTCAATTCACTGCAACATATTTTGTATTTTTACATCTACTTTTTATCGCCAAGAGTACCCATTCCACGCCAGCCACGCTTTTACCGCCATCCATCTCTTAATAGCGAAGATGGGAACGATTTGCTCACGGGAGATCCCAAAACGTATGGCTTCAGGTAGTCCCGTCGCGAACATTGCGTGGAGCTCCATCACTTATAGGCTAAGTGATTTTTTTATAATGATATAAGACAACTTTTTTTATGTTACTCACATTTTTACTTATATTTCTCTGTATAATTGAAAATGAAAATCAATGGTGTAAAAAAGAGATGGAATGATGCTTTTTCTTCCAAAATG